AGGTTTGGAAGTGATCTCACTTCCATAGTTCAAATTGCAGCCCAACAGGTCTTTAAGGTTAACAGTAACATCCAAAGGAACATACTCTAGAACAGTCAATTGTGTGAGATCAAAAGGGCAGAATTTGCCCAGATATAAAGCTCAGAAGGAAGGAAATGACAGAAAATATGCATGAATGGAAAAAGAAAACAGGAAGGAGGTGGGAGCAGCAATATTTCATTGTTGGGATAGCAATCAATGTTACAAACAAGATGTTTATAAATTGTTGAATGGAAAACTAACTTACTTTATAAATTTTCTTCTAAGCCACAATGAAAAATGCCTTTAAAAAAGTAAAAATGAAGAGAAATAGGATTCAGGGAAAGAAAACAGAAAAGAAATACTTATTTGTAAATTTTATTTGCCTCCTTTGTTAGAAAGAATAGAGAAAAATATAGATTATTCAAAACAGTCTCTGGTGGGTTCTCATGTCTGATTCTCTACTATGTTACCATTCAAATATTACATTTCAGTAAGTCCTGTTTCTAGTTCATAAAGTCTCCATTAAAAATGAACAAAAATGAAGACATTAGGAAAATTTTAAAAGCATATAGCAGAGCCTGAACACTTTCAGATAGGTGAAAAAGCAATCAGCAAGACACATAATATTTTATGAAATAAAATAGGGTAGTAACAGTCCATGTGGCACCAACAATCCTTTAATGTCTAAATGAATAACCTTAATCCTAATACAGATTATAGACTGCAGGGATTGACTACAATGTCTGTTGTATCCTGATGTATTTATATCAATGGCCTTACTTAAGGTCATTAATTTTTGATACATAGCCAAAAGTAATCCATGGTTCTTGAGTATTTGTGAGAGAAAGAAAATAAAGCAGGAGAAAAGTGAAGAAAATAAAGTAATGTAAGGTAAAACAAAAGAAAACAAAAACCCTACAAACATGAAGAAAACATAAAATTGTATTTGTGGTTTGAATTTTCTTGAAACTTTTAAAACTTCTTGATCAATAAAAAGGAAGACAGTGGGAGTAACAGCAAATAGGTAGCATCCCTTTTTACAGAGCTAACCATATAAATTCACGGTGTTAAAGATTTAAGAGCTAGGTTTCAGAAGTTAGGAATTAGCTTTTCATCAAAATCTCTGCTCCTAACCTTTCTGTTCATTAGCCTCCAACAATTCCTTCCAGAGGCTGGCAACTTCACGCAAACGAGCATCCACATTGTCAGAGGCATAGTGATTATCCTCAATCATCTTCTGGCCAGTTTTCTCTAGGTTGTTGAGTAGTATCGTATTAGCTGACAATTCCTCCTCAAAAGCTTGTTGCTTTTGTACTCTGCTCTTCAAATTCTGTGTATCCTAAGACAAGATAAAACACAACAAAAGTAAAGGAAATCTCTGCTTGAAGAATGAGGGTCAAGATTTTGAAGACAGGAATTATTTCTCATTCTAAATCTAACTGTATCAAGATTAAGATACAATCAAGGACTACTCTAGTAAAAGTATGGAGCCAGAAATTGCTTTGAAAACCCATACCACTATTTCCTCCTTCTTGATACATAGAAATTATGGCTAATCAATCACAGCATTTATTTCTACTTAGACTAGATATGATGGAAGTTTCTTAGAATATAGATCCTTCAATTCCAAAACTGTAATTCCATGAGACCAACTAATGATGAATATATCCAGGACTGGATCACCTTGCCTACCTTGTAATCTTCATCATCTGCCAGCTTTTTCTTCTTGTTGATCCAGTTTTTTAGATCATCTAAGTCCTGATATAGTTGCTGCAGAAGCAATGAATCCTTCAGCAATTGACGTCTAGTGGCAGCCCTTTTACGCAGGATATCCCGCCGGCCCAACAGCTGTAAAAGGCCATAAGCAACCTTACTGTTAGCAAAACCAAATATGGACCATGAGCTTCACTGCCCACCCTGGTCACATGACCCCAATACTTTCTCTGACCCTAGTGATTATCTAGAACCTTGGACATACCCCATCTCGTATAGCAGCAATGTTCTTGGAGTCATAATGGTCATTGTCGATCAGTTTGGTTGCTGTTTTATCTAAGGTCTGGGGAAAACAAAGGAAAGGGAGATGGTTTATCTTGTTAATTGACACTGTTAGCTTTTATCAGTGAGAACTAATAAAGGAAACATATGGATTAGCAGAGGACCATATTAGGTTCTTTGTTGATTAGAGATTAATAGTGAAGACTTTGAATTTAGTTGTTATTGTTGCTATTGGTTTTGTTGTTGATATTGTTGTTGTTGTTGGTGGTGGTGCTAGTGTGTGCATGAGTTTAAAACTAGCACTATCCTAGGAGACAGTAAAAGGTATAGAGTAGATTGGACTCCTTAAGCATTCCTTATAGTATACTTATCCATGCTTATATACTGAATAGATTGTAATTTATTGATCATAGGGATTCTGTACAAGAGGAATACAAGAGGGTTTCAAAAATGTCATGGAAAAATTTCATTATATTTTAGTTCCATTTTTCCATGCACTTTTTGAAGCCCTCTTGTTTAAAGAGAATGGAAGAAATAATATGCTATAAGTGAAAAATATTATTTAGATATCTAGATACTAATAAAGAAGAGAAAACTAAGTCTAGATATTGCTGTTAAGTTGTTGCTAGGTGTCATTAACTAACTCACTAACTAATTGTTTTTGGCTCCACCTCATAGTGACCCTATGTACAACAGAATAACACACTGCTCTGGCTGGCATCAATCTCACAAGCATTAATGCATTTCAGCCCATTGTTGCAGCTATTGTGTCAATCCACCTCATTGAGGGTCTTCCTTTTTGTGCTGATCATCTACTTTACTAAGCATGGTGTCCTTCTTCATGAACTGGTTCCTCCTGATAAACATATACAAAGTGTGTGAGACTAAGTCTAACCATCCTTGCTTCTAAGGAGCATTCTAGTTATACTTCTTCCAAGACAGATTTGTTCATTTCTTCTGGCATTCTATGGTGCATTCAATATTCTTTGCCAATACCATAATTCAGAGGCATCAGTTCTTTCTTTGTCTTTCTCATTCATTTTCCAGCTGTCACATACATAAGAGGTGTTTGAAAATGCAATGGCTTGGGTCAGGAGCATTTAAATCATCAGAGTGATGCTTTTGCTTTTTAACACTTCAAAGAGATCTTTTGCAGCAGAATTTTCCATGAAAGTCACCACAGTGTGACACAATGACAGATGAGTGGTAGATAGAAGATATTATTAGAGAAGAAGAAGTTAATGAAATCTAAATAATACAGTTCAAATTATTAAGTAGTGATTCTGTACAGAATATGGATCCGATAGTTTTTATTAACACTGAAGAAAAAAAAAAAAGAAAAGAAAATTTGTATGCACTACATCAATGAAAAATGCCTTGACATCCTAAAAACTTGCTAAATATACTTTTTAAAACTAAAAGTGTATTGTTGAGAATAGATATGAACATATTTTTCTGTTTTCTCTTTTAAGAATAATTCTCATGTGATGTTTGGTGTTTATAAAATGACACAAACAAAACCAGTTACCATTGAGCTGATTACAACTCATGGTGACCCCAAGTGTGTAAAGTAGAACTGTGTTCTATAGGTTTTCAATGTCTGAGTTTTCAGAAGATTGCCATGTCTTTCTTCTGAGATATATCTAGGTGGACTCAGACCACCAATTTTCTGGAAAGCAGCCAAGCATGTTAACTATTTGTACACTGAGGGATTTCCTAGTGGTTATAAGTTGTTGTCTAAGGACAGACGGTATATGAGATGATTTATACAAACATGGATCCCAGTACATAAACCCAAAACTCATTTCTTACTGTGATCTTTTCTTCCTGGGCAGTAAAAGCTTCCTCAAAGTCTTCATGCTTCTGAAGAAGGGCTTCCACACTTCCCAAAGAGTTTCCCAAGTCCTCATTATCCAGGAAGGCCTGTAGGAGACACACAGATACATTGAAGGTGTACCTCAATGGTGAGCAACGGTTCGTTTGAACATCTCTGAGAAGAGGAATAAGAAGAGAGGCAAGGGGACCAGAGAGCAAGGCAAGAGTTAGCACAATGGGGCTAATATGTAGAGACAAATCTCAGACACCACAAGCTTAAAATCTCCTTTCATTGATTCAATGCAACCTTCTCACCTATGTTTCTGGGTCTGCCCTCACAGCATTCTCTCAGTCATGATTGGTACTAATGTGAGAACTTAAGTCCATCTCAAGAGGACCACTTACTTCCAGAAATCCTTCCCAGATTTATCTTGCCTGAATCATCATAATTTTTTCTTCTTGACTCCTTAGCAATTTGATATTCATTTTTCCTTATATTCAATTGTGATAACAGCTTCTATACTGCACATTCAAGTGTTTCTCTGTGCATTTGTCCATGAGGAGATTGTAAAGTCCTTATAGATAGGGTCCATCTTTTCTTTATGTGGGTCACCCTCTAATTCCCAGAACACACTTGGATCCAGGGAAATAGGTGTATGGGTGTTGATGGTGGTCATAGTAGTAACAAAGGGTAGGAAAAATTATTATGAAATTATTTGGACTTATTCTGTTACCTCTTGTCTGCTCATCCAACTGTCTACTTGCTCACTGTCTCGGAAGAACAGATGCATATCCAAGCACTGCTCATATTGATGTTGACGCTTGTCCCACAGTTCCAGCAGGGCAGCCCAGTTGTTGGCAAGTTTTTCCATCTTTGCACAGAAAAGAGAGTGTAACCAGAAAGATATTTAATTAATTCAATGCATCCTACATTTACTGGGTATCTAATAAATACAAGGCATTTTGAAGGATACAGAGATAAACAAGAAATGAGCTTTGCTCTTAAAGGCTTTTATAGCTAATAAGCAAATAAGTATATCATGTAGGGAAAATGGGATAAATGTCAGAAAAGATGAATATGACTTTTAATAGTTAGGAAAGATGTATTCTTATTGAAAGAACCAGGTATTAGAAGTATGTGAAGAATCATCCAAAAAGAGATTTCTTGAGAGATGGGGATCAGGATTATAGGAAGATGTGATATTTTGAACAAATGGTATTATCGGAATTCAGAGTAACTATTAGATTATTCAATATATTCCAGAGAAAAGGCCATACATGTTCGGATGTCTTCTATGCCTTTTCCATTAGAAAATTATCATATTATTATGAGATTAAGTAAAGGATGTCTATGTCATTCTCTGTTAAAGCTAGGTTACCTTTTCCCTAACTTCGTCAGAGGCTTCGTGATTGGCACCCAGCAGAGCTTGACCAGTTTCATCAACAGTTTGAAATCGGTCATCATAAGAGTCAATCTCATGCTGTGGTGATAGAAAACAAATGCATCAGAATGCAGCAAGGAAACTGGTCATTGCTTAATGAGGAGAGCTTCCATCTGTACCTTATGCTGCTGATGCCTGTCCAGTAGGGCTTCTCCGCCAGCCACATCTGTAGGCAATTCATCAGCATTGATTAGAGCAGTCTTCTCGTTCATCCAGCCTGAGAGTTCATCGTAGTCAGATAAGAATCTGTGATACCTGTGGGGAATGTAAGAAAATGAAGGTGGTAGTTCTGTGTCTTGGAGTTGGTTCCCACTCATAGTGACCGTGCATAGGTTTCTGAAGTTGTAAATCTTTATGGGAGCAGAAAATCTCATCTTTCTCCCACAGAATGGCTGGTAGATTTGAACTGCTGACTTTGAGGTTAGCAGCCTGACTTGTAGCCACTACACTACCAGAGGGAAAACAGATGTGACAGGATTTTGAGCAGAGTAAGGTTTGATTTCTGTTATGTTATACCAGATGCAAACTGATTTTATTAGGTAAATCTGCTTCTTTATCTTTCCTCCACAAAGAATAATCATACAATGCATCCATAGACCTTTAAACACAAAAGTGTATGAAGTGCTCACAAGTAAACTAGCACATCCATGTAAACAACAAGAAGTACCTTGTGGGAAAAGGGAGCTAGGCTTACAGTTAGAAGCATCTCATATGTCTCAGTTCACCCTTAACCCTCCCTATAAATAATAGTAAAAAGCTACTTAATCAACAAAATTAAATGCTTACCAGTCAGTTTTAAATCAAAACAATAGGAGGAATACTACCTTCTATTGATTTAGTAACTAACCATAAGAATTAACTACTGAAATGAAGTTCATTTATCATTTTTTGTGTGTATGTAAATTATAACCCACATTGATGAAATAATTTTATGTTTATTTTTATTTTATTCCTATTTGAGATTTTATTTTAGCTCCATAGCTAGGGACAGGGGTTTGAAATGTTTCTTCATCACCTTTCCCACCTTTATACGTAGGTCACTTCTTAGCAACACACAGCTATGCAAACTGGGGAAGACAGAAAGGTGGCGTTAAGGGGAGGTGCAATGCTCAGGATTATGTCAGCCTGCAAGGCCTTTCCTTGACAAATACAAATATCTTATCCCTCTACTAAGCAGGCAAACTAATCTCCTGGTTGTCATATACCCTTCATTCTTTCATTCATGGTTTTGATATTTTACATGGGCCATCTAGAAAAAAATAGGTAAAGCAATAGGAAAGGGGGATTTCTCACTCATAAGAAGCCTTCAGCTTTGTATATCTGGCGGTAGCCAAAGCACAGATCTTCTCCCATCTTGAACATAGGTCCTCTTTCATCTGCTGGATCTGAGGTGCTTCTGAAGGATGGGAGACCTCCAACATATCTGCTTTATCACATAACGCCATCACCTTTGAGATGAAAAAGAAACTTAGCCTGAAATCCAAGCACTATTATTCCTCCTAGTAAAGATGTGTGTGCTATAACAAAATGATAACTGAATTATTTATTTATATCAATAGTTAAGTGCCGTCGAGTCGGTTCCAATCCACAGCGACCCTGTACAGGGTTTCCAAGGGTGTAAATCCTTACGGGAGTAGAAAGCCTTATCTTTCTCCTGTGGAGTGGCTGGTAGTTTCGAACCGCTGACCTTAAGGTTCGCAGCCCGATTCGTAACCACTACGCTACAATAGTTAATATTAAATAATGCTGTGTATTAATAATATCTTATCAAATATTTTTTTCTACTTTTGTGCTAAGTGCTTTACATGTACACCCTCATTTAGTGTTCTTTATTGAATAATAATTACAGGCCATATTATTCTTAATCCCCTTTTACATACGTGAAAACCAAGAAGCAATTTTTTTTATTCAACTAGCAAGTGTCAAAAGCAAGGTTTAGGTGCAATCCTGTTCTTCCCTACCTCTGTGTCCTATTTCTCTGTTTATTGTGTGAGTTATAACACATTTCCCCCCCACACACACACAGCTTAAGGAAATTTTAGTAATGCCAAATCATTCTTGAGGAACAGGATTTCTAGTACAACAATGTGTGACTTTCCACATGGGTAACTTTCCACTTGCTATTACTAGGTTTTCTCATTAACTCAATGATAATCAGGTGATAGCTAAGGTTCAGGATTCCATCATCTGTTCTTTATGAATGAAGACTAATGACAAGGAAGAAAGGAAGAAGAAGAAGAAAAAATAGTGGAACAGTGTTCAGAAACTGAACACAGAGATAGCGCTATGATGAAAAAGCTTAAATGACAAAAACCCACAAGTCTTGATCTATCTGTGGGCTTGCTTCTCAGAAGGAGCTTGACATAAATTGGTTTAAGTTATGGATAAAGTTTTGAAGGAAAAAGAAAAAAATTAAAGGATTGGAATCATTCAAGAATATTGACTTACTTTAAGTTCTGGTGTGTGTCTATGCCTATTCCTCCACACAAAGGAGCTGGGCTTTTCCAGCTCTAAGAAGTGAACTCAAAGGTGTATTTAATAATATGTTTTAAGTACCTCAAAGTTTATTATACAATTGGAAGAAGAAAATGCTTTATTCACTAGTTTGTGAAAAATAAGAGAAGCAGTATTAACCTGCAAACGAAGCAAGCATGGATAGATTTAAAACAAAAACAAAACCCCTGGCCAAAGCAGTATTTTACTGATAGGACTAGGACAGAGACTAGGGAACCATCTTGGAGGTATCACTTTTGTTTATTTGTATGTGTGTGATCCATATCAGACAAAACCACAGACTATATTATATATATATGCATGTATATAAAATAAAATTAAATTATTAAATACATGCAGCTTAAGTTAGAATTATGCAGTATATTTAAGTGACACAATTTCTCCTTCATTGCAAATAGTGAATTTACTGTGCCCTCTGAAGGCATAGTGTAAATGACATGACCACCATTTGCCTCTTCTAGGTCAACAGGACAAGCAGTGGCTTACCTTATCTCCCATGTCTGTAAGATTCTTCTTAAATCCCTCGTGACTGTGGAACAGTGCCTCTGAGCTGACAAGGTCTGTGCCATAGTTCTCAGAGGTCAGAAGAGGCTTCTTCTCCTTGATCCACTGGATGGCTTCATCCACATCCCTGCCAAGCAACAACATTGAGTTCCAGGGGGAAAAAAATGGCAGCATCCCAGTATCAATAGAGCAAAAAAGTGCAAGGTATTGCCTGAGTTCAATTACCCTGCCTTCCTACACATTAGCAAGATGTAATATAAAGGGCTTTTGCTTATCAGTGGTTTTTTTAAAAGTTTTCATTGTGAAGTGAGTGCAAGTTCACAGGGCAGGTCATCAGTCCCACATTCAATAGATCATATTTTGTTTCACTGCAATGATTACAATCCCCTCCATGTACCATCAATCAATAGTATTTACCTCTGTTCCCTAACTTTCCCCACCCTTTCTTTATGTACACATACAAAACAGAAAATACATATTCATTTAAATGTCCAAAGGGCACATTTTTCAAGCCAGCCTCGTGTCCACAGCCACACAGCCTTTTTCTGTCCATGGACCTAGAGTCCTCAGATACTTTTGCTCTCTATGCCCTCGCCTTTGCCACTGTCTCTGCTGTTGCTGTTTTTCTGGGTAGGATCCCACACTCCACTAATGCTCTTCCCTCTTGCCAGTCCTAGGGTTCTCTGTTCATGAAATAAAGGGTTAACTAATGCCCCCTTTTAGTTACACTTCATCTACATTTACAGTTGTGACCATTACAATTAGTCCTGATGAAAATTACACTCAATTGAATCATAAAATCCTATCCTTATCCTCTCTGACCCCCTGTAACCAGACCCATCTGAAAAAGCTAAAAACTATAAGGTGGGGATTCTATCTTACCTCCCTCATTCTAAAAGTACACTCCTAAAAGATTGTAAGCCAGCCACTTCATGCCTTTATAAACCAAGCCCACATTTTTAATGGCCAGTGTCAAACTTGCATGTCCCTACAACCCAATGTCCTAAGGAGGCAATCTTGATCCTGGATAAGAAGAGTCCTTCCCTTTCTATTGGCATTTTAAGCAACTGGTAGTGTAGTGGTTATGAATCACGCTGTGAACTGCAAGGTCAGCAGTTCGAAACTACCAGCTGTTCCGCGGGAGAAAGATGAGGCTTTCTGCTCCCATAAAGATTTACAGCCTCGGAAACCCTGTACAGGGTTGCTATGAGTCAGAACCGACTCCATGGCACCTAACAACAACAACAACATCCATATGCAAAAGTCTAGTTCATCAAATTGTATGATTTATGCTTGCTCCTTGTATCAGATGTCTTTATCTTCATCAGTTTGAGTTCTGGTCACCTAGCCATTGCTTGGTAGTAGTTTTCACTGAGATGTTAGAGACTTCAGCCTCCTTAAGTTGAGCCTGCAGAGATGCTACCAATATCTGGCTCAGCTCTCATGAATACCTTTATTCTTCCTAACTTTCTTCCTCTACCCATTCAAGTCATCACCGACTTTTTTGCCTCATTTTGTAGCAGTAATTCCCCAGTACTATGGGTATTGCTTTAGGTTTCAATCTCACAAGCTTGACCATAGGGAAAACTCCCAGTTTTCTTAACTACTCCTTCCCTGGCTGCCCCCAAAGCAAGTACATAATCCTTTTTGCTGGAGTATTGGCTTAATTATTAGGGGGAGTAGACAGAGGGTAATAAGAATAACAAGTGTTGTATAGTTTCAGACTTTTCCAAACTGCAGCACACAAATCCATACCTTTTAAATCTCTGGAGGTCTGCAACATTGGATAGGGTTTTCTGTCTCTGGAGAGCCAGACCATGGAGATGCTCCCAGGCAGCATTCACCTCATCCTGTTTTTCCTTAATCAAAGGCAGTTGAGGGTGGTTCTCCTATGGATGGAAATCCATGCTGGAGTTACACATAGAAGGGATTACACCAAAACTATTTAATCACTTCTCAGTTTACCCTGGTCCATACTTTGTTGGAAGTGAAGAATGACCATGATAGCCAGCCACCAAGTTTCATTTTATCCCTGCTTCCTACCTCTGACCTAATGTACTTTAGGTGAGCTGCTGACTTCACTGGACTAATGTACTAAACTGTTAACTTCAAGGTCAAAACCTGGAAAGCCAACCTGCCAAATAGTGTATTCTGTGTCTACAACACTGGACTAGCTTAATGTGGTGTAGTGAATTATATAATGTCTATTCTAGAGAAATAGTCTGTAACTCTCACCAAACAACGTTTCCACCCTGCTGGGTCAAGGTAAGAGATGGTAGAAGAAGACCAATTCAGTTGTGGGTGTTAGCTGAATTTATTGTAATTGTAAAAACTTGAAACTCTAACTGGATTTAAAATAAGTCACCTCTAAAGAAGGAGACAACAGGGAGGTAGGATCTAACTACCATCAAAAAAGAAGAGCCAACAGTGGTGTGTGTTCTTTGGATCCCAATATCCCTGTACATTGAGCTTCCTCGATGTAAGGACAGAAATATGTGACACCATAGGAGTGGCAGAGAAGTAGCATCAGCAGAACCAAGAACCAGAGCATGAGACAGAGCCATGGACATCCTAGTCCATGGAGCAAGTAAAGCTAAGTAACTTTGGGCAGGAAGTTTGCTTGTGGAGTAGGGTGTCTCCAGGAGCTCAAGTGGGGAAGCTAGATGAGCTGAGTGCCTTTAGACTGAGTCTTATGGTAGAATGGTGTGTTGTATAGGCATTTATCAGAAGCTGACTGAAACAATTTTGCCCTGAGCATTTCTGACCCCAAATCATAACCTGTTAAATTCTCTAATAAGTACCATAACTCTGAGTATGGTGTCAGAGTTCTGTGTGGTCATTGCAGCGGATTAGTGAACAAACCAGTTGAGTAGTGAGTGCCATGGGAGGAATGTTTAGTATCACATATTGTTTCACCTAAAAATAAAGATTGTCCAACCCTAAGGTTATTTTCAGAACTCTACTTCTAAATCCTTTGGAAATTATGGGGAAAAAAAAAGAAATGAAGAAATAATTCACATTATGGAATCTGATTTGACTTTCTAAAACTTTAGGATTATGGTTCCTAATACTTTTGGTAGACTGGCATCTTAAGAATCCAGTGAGGCATTTCTCCCTTTCCAGAATTAAGCTATATTCATACACATACAACTTCATGAATGGGTGATTCTTTCTATTGTACTGAATGGGCCCCACTCCAAAAGGCACAGCTTGTATTCTAAAAGTTTGTATAACCCTCCTGTGGCCATGCTATTTTACCCCTCCCCTTTCAAGAACTAGTCTCTTTTTTAACCTTTGGAACTTGGATGGCCTACTGACACACTTCAACCAATAGATGGGTACAGAAGTAGTGATATTCTATGAGCTATGGGGTATAGTTTTCAAGAGGCATTTCAGGTTCTGCTTTTATTCCCTTACAACACATAGAAAGACCCACAGTCTACTGAATTATAACACACACACACACACACACACATATATAGTTGTTGCTGTTAAGTCCAGTTGGTTCTGACTTATAGTGGCCTTATACAGGGATTCTGAGACTTGTAAATCTTTGGGGGAGCAGAAAGCATCACATTTCTCCCAAGGAGCAGCTGGTGAGCTCAAACCGCTGACATCGTGGTTCACAGTGCAGTACTTATCCTATGGAGCCTCTGTGCTTCTTGTTGTTAAGTGCCATTGAGTTCATTCTGACTCATAGCAACCCTGTATAGGGTTTCCAAGGAGCGGCTGGTGGGTTTGAACCACTAACTTAGTGGTTAGCAGTCTAGTGCTTATCCTATAACAATATATATAAATATGTGTGTGTGTGTGTATATATATATATGTGTGTGTGTGTGTGTGTATACATATATATATTGTTGTTGTTGTACCATGGAGTTGATTCCAACTCATAGTGACCTTGCACAGGGATTCCAAGGCTGTAAATCTTTACAGGAGCAGAAAGCTTCATCTTTCTCTCGTGGAATGGGTGGTAGTTTTGAACTACCGACCTTGAGGTTAGCAGTCCAATTTGTAACCACTATGCTACCAGAGCTCCATATATATACATACATACACACATATATGTAGGAGCCTGGTGTGGTGCTATAGGATAAACACTGGACTACTAACCACAAAGTTAGCAGTTCCAACACACCAACCACTCCTTGTAAATTTTGAGTCAGAACTCACTTGATGACAGTAATGACAACAAAAATATTTAAGGAGTCCAGGTGGCTCTGTAGAGGAAGCACTGGACTGCTAACTTCAAGGTCAACAGTTGAAACACACCAGCCAATCTGTAGGAGAAAAATGAGGTTGTTTGCTCCTGTAAAGATTTACAGACTTGGAAACTCCATAAAGTACTTGGAATCAAATCAATAGCAGAGGATTTTTGGTTTTATATATATATATATATATATATATATACATACACAGGAGTCCTGATGCAGCACTACAGGTTAATGTGCTAGACTGTAAAGTTGATTTGAACCACAAGGTCAATGGTTCATGCTCATCAGCCGTTCCTCAGAAACCCTATCAGGGTCACTATGGGTTGGAACTGACTCAACAGCCCTTAACAACAATAACATATATATTACATTTTAAATCTATATTGTGCTTTCCCAGTTGTAGTTAAATTTTATATATTATGACTTTATCTTTGTAGTGGGACTGATCTTTCAGTGTTATACAACCAATATAATATTGTAGATAAGGATTTCTAGAGCAGAGAAATAACTCATATCTTCCATTTATAGGAATGGGCTTAGCATAGGGTTGTTAACAAAAATGTTGGTGGTTCACACACACACCAATCATCTTGTGGGATGAGGTAGTCTGCTTTGTTAAAGGTCTACAGCCTCAATAACCCTATGGAGAAGTTCTATTCTCCTGAGTCAGAATTGACTCAATGAGAGTGGGTTTGCTTTTGGTATATAGATGCAATTAGACAGGTCTCTCAGTTTCTTACATATTCTAGTGATTTATTTCTAAGGTTAGCCTTTGTTTGCTTAGAGATTGCAAATTTGTTGAAATACTTTCTTAAATAAATAAAGGTAAACCTGCCTAATTTCCTCTCTTCCCCACCAAAATAATCATACAACATATTCCAAAATCTTATTTTATATTTTCTGTTACTTTAATCTTTTTCTTCTTCATGAAGGAAGGTTGCTGCATAAGCATGGGTCATCTGTGACTTGCACAGTGTAGGGACTAGCACTGTACATCCCTCTATTTCCTTACTATTCCCTGTCTTCCTCCAATCCCACCAACTATTGTCCAGAGGTTCTCCTTGAAGATCAAAACCCTATCCTGCAATGACTACTACTTCCAGCTCACCTCAGCACACTCATTGGCATATTGGTTCACTGCAACCACTTTTCCTTTCCGAATTTCTAGTTCCATTCGGAAATCTTCAAACTTCTTATGTAGAACTTCTGTGCGCTCCCAGTCCTCACTCAGCTCCACTGATGCTGCTATAGCCTCCTGAAGATATAAAAAACAAACAAACAAACAAAAAAAAAAACAACTATTGAGTCAACATAAATTTTTGCATGTCAAAATCCAAGATATTCTCAGAATAACATAGTTGGAGATTCTGGTGAAATCTGGGAGAAACTATTACAGTAAGAGTATACTACCCTGACCCAAGGGGCAGTATGCTTTGGAACAATCCTTGAGAAAGTCCTGTAGCATTGTTGGCTGGAGTTCTAGGAAGCACCATTTTTGTGATGTGGAACAAGAAAAATAAATTCATCCCAACTCAACATACTGAATATCTATAGCAGCAATATACTAAGTACTTGATTGGATAAATCTTCAGTTCTAACTATAAGACTATTATCTAAGTGTTTAGAAAAGTAGAAATCTCTATAGCTATAGGCACTACAGGACAAGGGATTCAGGAAAGAACCTACTATCTTTTCAGTTTGGCCCCAGAGTAAGAGCAAACATCTATGAGAAGGAATCAACACTTAGGGAGGATGGATGATCTTTCAATGCATAGTCTTTATATGAGTCTTGTCCATATTCAGATTAATAAATTTAGACTCATCTTCTACAAAGTTAGAAACCTCCAGACTATCCACAGATCTTTGTCAAAATCTCTACCTTCCAAATAATGAAGTCTGTAAATAGAACCTGACTCCTTTTTACCTTCAGCTAGTTGCTATAGGGTACCTGGAACAGATGATTTGGGAGGTCCTATATATAGATGTTGGTTCTATACCTTGTCTCTAATCCATTCCAAGATGTCTGCACAGTCCTGAAAATACTGCTGGAGATTCAGGGCCTGTAGCAGCATGATGCGCTTTTCCTCGGTCAGTTCTAGCAGCAGTTCCCACAGGCGGTGCAGTTCCTCCAGATGAGCCTTTAAGAAGAAGAGGCAGAACCACTCAGGCACGAGAGCTGTAAAGTAGGTAGACTTGGACAAAGAAAGACCTGAATAGAAATTCCTCCTACATTCACTTGTGTATTAATTGCTTAACACATATTTAAAGGCAGACATAGGATATTTCATATATGGAAATAGATATTAAACCAAGCCAAATATTACCTTGTGTAAGAGCAAAATTATAAAACATATGCTTTGAGGTTGTAGCTAATGGAGTTATTATAAACAATGGAAAGGATTCTTGAGAGAGTACTCATTTGAACTGGGGATAGAAGAACAGATTGAATTTTGACAGATGATGGACAAAGGGTCTTTCATGTATAGCCAATAGCATCTGCAAAGGCACAAAAGAAATTTCATTTCATAGGTTTCCCAAGGCATGAACAGTTTTCCAGGAAGGCTGAGAGGTGTAGTTTTACTTGATGATTAGGAAACCAGTAGCACAAAAGCATTAAGAGTATTATGAGACTATATTGTCGAAGGCTTTGAATTCCAGGTTAGCTCAGAGTGTCCTCTATTACATAACTCTTGGAACTGAGGTTATCATCTATGTCATGTTTTAAAAATCCTATATTTTTCAGCTACTCCATTTCTCACAGTCACATGTGGACTTCATTTCTCTACAAACTCTGCAGATTTACAGTATGATAAACCACAACTATACAAGTTTGTCATACTAGTGTTTCTGAGAGATATGGAGACATGATATAAAAACTAGACTGTTTTTATAGAATAAAAGCTAGACTGCTAACCACAAGGTCAGAAGTTAAAACCTACCAGCTGTTCCTCCAAAACACTATAGAGGGTCTCTGTGAACCTAAATGGAACCAAAAGCACTTAATAACAACAATAACAAATATTTTTCAGATATTAAAATTAATGTGAACAATACAAAAATGATTTCTATTTTATATCACTGAATAAGTTTTGAGATTTTCCTCTTAAAGATTCTTCTTTATAATTAAGATTTATTCTGATTAACGTCTGTGCTTACTGCAAGTTATGTTGACAGTAAAGTGGGCAAGAATTTGTGTACTAACCATGGAAAGACCAGTCCCAATTTAAAAATAATCAATATAAACTTGTTTTGACAATTTAAAAAACACATATACAGTAGAAAATCCAGTCACACAGAAAAAGATTCTGAAATGACTTTATCAATGCAACATGTTGGAAGATTGCTGGTATGTAGATTGTTAGCTATTGCAGTAAAACTTGGTTGTTGTTGTTGTTGTTAAATGTTGTTGATCCGGTTTCATTTCATAGGTTTCCCAAGGCTTGTAAATCTTTGTGGGAGAAGGATGGGTTACAGAGTGATAAATGTTTATTAAAATCAGAGCTCTTCAGTTCAGATATTCTAGGTGTTCTGAAGATATGGGATTTCATGAGTTTCTCAAAGTGAGCAATGAGGGTCTAGATAACTGCAGTAGTAGTTTGGGGCACTGGGGTACAGAGAGAAACAGGCATCATAGATAAAGAGGACAATATTTCAGAGAAGAATCAAATGAGAAGGCAATCCTTGATTGAAGTGAGGGATAAGGGGAAAACTCGAGATTAGAAAAAATTAATCAGAAAGGTCATTGTTAAGTGATGAGTCAGTTTTGACTCACAGTGACCCTATATAGAATTTCTGAGGAGCAGTTGGTAGGTTTGGACTGCAGACCTTGTGGTCTGCAGTCCAGTGCCTATCTTACAGTGCTACAATGAGAGTCCAGAAAAGCCATTATGAAAGTCATTTCATCTGGGAAATGTGAAATAAGCTTGGATAGGATCTTGATCTTGAGCTAAACTATCCTGCAGTGGTATGAGGAGTGTGAAGTCATCTGTTATGGGTTGAATTGTATCCGCCAAAGTATATTGAAGTCCAAAACCATTGGACTTGTGAATGTGATCAAATTTGGAAATAAAATCTTTGCAATTAATTTTTTAACTAAGCAAAATGAAGTCCATAGAGTGGGATCAAGCCAAATATGCCTAATGTACTTATAAGAAGAGGGGCAGAGACACAGATGAGGGAATATAGTTTTGTGAAAATAACGGAACACCTAGGACTACTAGAAGCTAGAAGAGGCCCAGTTCAGCTGGAGGAAGCCTAGTTCAGCTGATACCTTAATTTCAGATCTATAGAGCCTGGAAATATGAAAAAATAATTTTTTATTTTAAGCTCACTTTCTGGTTATTTATTACAGCAGCTCTATAAACTAATATACCATCCAATATAAGGTTTTGTATCATTGCTCTTCCCCCAAACCCTAGGAGCATGTGGAAATTGTATTATTTTATTTTTCTTGCCCCAATTATATTAAAAGATAATACAAGAACCCTTGTTCCAAGTCAAGTGAATAAAGTTTCATACCTGCAATAATCAACCAAAAGTCAGGTAACATAATCAGCAATTAGAAACTTTTCCTCATGAGTCTTACAATGCATTCACCTTTGTTTCCTCATGGGCAAAATGTCCCTCAGGAAAGCGGATTTTCCTAATTTCTTCCAGTTCAGGAATGACGTTTGATTTTGCTTGTACTTCTAGTGTGAAGGATTCATGTTTATCGTATTTTCCCTGCAATTTAGGAATAAGAGTTTATAATTAATGAGCATAGTTTCCTTGGATCATAGAGAAGTCATTTTGTTCTTCTTATTTCCAGAAAAAAACTAATCATTTTCCAATCTACCTTAAGTGGTAACTGAAAACCTACCTATAATGGTTAAATCTTAAAAGAAATAAGCATGGTAAGTAGAGGTTTCAAAAAGTACTAGACCAAAATCAGTGATCATAGAAGAAGATTTTTCCTATCCCACCTATTTTGGGGGATGTCTTGGTAAATGTCCTATTATTTTAAAGGCTCAATTGAATTCTGAGAATAAACTATTGAAGTTATAGTGCTTCTCCTGTTCAGAATAGAGCACAAAAGGATGATGAGTTATGACTTTTATTTATTTATTTATTTTAGTTGAGAGGTTATGCATACAAGCCTTTGCTCTGCTGTTATACATGAATTAATCCACTGAATAGATCCACTGAATAGGCTTTATGGTTAGTCCCTCTCTGACATCAATTTCCCTGCTAAGCATGCAACTCTTTCTTCTGATCTATGTCATGCTATAATACTAGCTGAACAGGTCAGGGTAGGGTACTTCCATGTTGTTGCTGTTAGGTGCCATTGAGTCAGTACTGACTCAAAGCATCCCTGTATACAACAGAACAAAACACTGCCTGGTCCTGGACCAACCTCACAATCATTGCTACTCCTGAGGCCATTGCTTCCTTAATGCCACCAAATATTAAAATTACCTGGTGTGTCATGAATTCTTGAACTGTTGCCATTTAGTGTTTTGCCTGTAGTTTAACTTCAGATGGATATTTGCATCCATTGAATACTACCTAAAATGACATTTTTCTTTTCAAATAAGACTATGAAATTGAAAGTTGAAGATATGAACTGTTCAGCAGCAGAATTACTGTCAGTAACAGATCTACTAATATTTTCATTAAATAGTCCCCCTGCAGTTAACCAGATAATACGCTCATACAAGTATGTAGACTCTGAATATAAGTTCATTGTAAGAAAGAGTTCTGTACTTTCAATAACCCACAAACTGCCTCCTTCTTTTCTTTGGCTTTTTTTTTTTCAATCTCTCCCCTCTAAGGTATTGTTGTTGTTGTTGTTAAGTGCCGTCGAGTCGGTTCCGACCCATAGCGACCCTGTACAGGGTTTCCGAGGGTGTAAATCTTTACGGGAGTAGAAAGCCTCATCTTTCTCCCGCGGAGCGGCTGGTAGTTTTGAACCGCTGACCGTAAGGTTCGCAACCCAATTCGTAACCACTACGCTACCAGAGCTCCCTATTTATTAGCCTCTCATTTATTAAAGAACAATGTACCTTCAGATTTTTTACTTGTTGAAATTCCTGTACCTTTAAATTTTTTCCTTAAATTTCTTCAGTTTCATACTCCACCAGACTGATTACCTTTGTTTTTGTCTTTTTTTCTAACGGAATCTTATTGTACCCATAATCACTTTTTTTTTTTTTTAAAGAATACTCAAAATTCCCATAATCACTTTTCAGTAATAACATAAATATAAATTTCTTCTTCCCCCACGCCACCCCTTTAGATAGATCTTAGGTTCTGCTCTGAGGAAGTCAATGGAACTGAGTGACCTGTATGTTCGTAGGGTCTTCATAGCTTTTATCTCCTGCAATGTTGATTTTCTCCACAATCCATTTCCCCAGGTCATCTGCATCCCGCCTGAAAACCTGGTAGTGATAGGATTCTTCAAGCTTCTGACCCCTTTCAGCAACCAGCTCCTTGAACCTCTGGTAACGAGCCAACACCTCCTGACGCCTCTCCTGGATCTCATCAGCTGTTTCCAACACCTTTGGCCCACTGCTCTCCATAACCTGAAAATCAAAAAAGGTTTTATGTACTGCTAATGTGGCGCTGCGGGATAAGCACTGGACCGCAAAATCAGTTTGAACTGCAAGGTCAGCAGTCACTCCTCAAAAACCCTGTACAAGGTTACTGTGAGTCAGAACTGACTCCACGGTACTTAGCAATAACGACTGCTAGTTCTAGCTATACAGCATGCTGCCCCAGTTATACTTCCCAAAGTGTTTATTTATGTTAGTACTATGTTGTTCAGACTTCTTTAAGCCGTGAAAGAAACTTAAATGTTCTCAAATGCACTATGCTCATTTATGTTATTTAAGCCATATACAGTTACCACTTAGGCTAATAATTCTTGGCTGTTCAGATGACTCTCCCAACTTTTCACATTATCTTGTGCCACATTCTATAAACAGAATTTCTTTGTATTAATAATGGAACACGAGTTTAAATAAGTAAAAAAAAAAAAAAAAAAGAATCACAAAATCTCTAATGAATAGAACTAAAATGCAATTTTATTGTTTTCAAAACGGAAAAGATGTTGGCAAGTAGTGATCATTCTAAATTGAATCTAACTAATAATTTAAAGGAGTCCTGGTGTGGTACTGTGGATTAATGTGTCAGATTGCAAAGCCATTTGAACTGCAAGGTTGGTGGTTCAAGCTCACCTTAAAAATGACCCTATGCAGTATTAATTTTCACAAATTTCAAATTATGAGGATAGCAATAATTAGCTTTTAGATCATGAAATTTAGTACTCTTAATCAACTTGAATTATTACTTTTCAACAGAAATGAAATCAATCTGTTATAAATTCTTACAAAATCCCTATAGGCTCTACCTCATTCATCTAGATTTTGGTACTGTTTCCCAAATTTGTCTTTCCCAGGACACTTTATTTCTCCTAAACATAATTGTGATTCTGAGATGGGCATTGTTAGTGTGGCTGTAAAATTAAAACATTTTTTTAAAATCTCTATTGAGGAGTCCTGGTGTGGCGCTGTGGGTTAATACACCAGACTGCAAAGCCGTTTGAACTGCAAGGTCAGTGGTTCAAGCTCATCAGCTGCTCCTCAGAAACCCTATACAGGGACACTGTGGGTCAGAGCTGACTCAATGGCTCTTAACAACAACAATCTCTATGAGTACTATTTTGTGGCAAGTTACTTTTCATGAACTGACTGGAATACCTGAGGTGGCTGTGTAGGATAAGCACTAGACCACAAGGTCAGTTTGAACTAAAAGGTCAGTGGTTCAAACTCATGAGACGTTCCTCAGAAACCCTATACAGGTTTATTGTGCTTTGGAACTGACTTGACGGCACCTAACAACAATGATGTGAACTGATTTAAACAGATTGGATCTTGGTCTGTATAGACATAAACTCAAGGTCATTGTTGACACATTAAAGAAAGAGTTGAAATTAAACTACTTTGCATAAAAATCTGTGGTAAAGATATAAACATGTAATCAGACATTATTTTAAAAAGTCATTGTGTTTTAACTCTCTTAATTTGTGTCAAATATATATGTACCAGAAGGAGCTCTGGTGGCACAGTGGTTTAGTAATCGGCTGCTAATTGAAAAGTCAGCACTTTGAATTCACCAACTGCTCCATGGAAGAAAGATGTGCCAATTTGCTTTTGTGTAGATTTCACACTTAACATTCACTGCTCTCAAGTCAAAATCGACTCACAGTGACCCTACAGCACAGAGTAGAACTGTCCTTTGGGGTTTTGAGACTGTATATTTACAGAAGCAGACAGCCTCGTCTTTCTCTATTGACTGAAAGATTTGGAGTGTAGACCTTGCGGTTAGCAGACCAATGCTTTGGAAATCCTATGAATCAACTCTATTCCATCCTATAGGGGTTAGGGTCACTATGAATTGGAGTCAACTCAAGCTAATGAGGTTTCTTATTTTTATCTTTGTCATAAATTGTTGCCTTTCAACATTTTTCACCTGTATAATTCAGTGACATTAGTTATGTTTACCATTACCATTATCCATTTCCAAATTTCTCTATCACCTTAACAGAAACTTAGTGACCTCTAAACAATGAGTCTTCTTTTTCCCCTCCCCTACCCCTGGTAACAATTTATAAACCAGCTTCTATACATTAGTCTGTGTAAATATTACATGTAAGTGGAATCATACAATCATACTGGTACATACTACAACATGATGGACCTTGAAAACATTATGCAGAGTAAAATAAGCCACTTCCAAAAAAAAAAAATAATAAAAATTATATATATATATATTCTTAATGCCCCTGTCAATGATAGTAAAAAAGTTCAAAGAACAGAGCTTTCCTAGTTATATAATTAACAAATTGGACTGTAAAGATCTTTGTACTCACAGTTTCCTTTATAAGGGGCTCCATTCTTTGTTTGGTTTGTTTTCTTCAAGATCTAGAACCTGGCAGCATAAAATATATCCACAAGAGATAAAGGGAGACAATTCTTATGCCACTGTCTAGTGTAATTCAATAGAGATGACAGAAAACGTTAAATATGTGGCAGATATACACATATATATTTAAAAAAAAACCAACAACAACACCCAACTTCTCACTTGGGACTATAATCCCGCCAGACACAATCAATGTTATCTTCAGGAGACAGATTCAGCAGAGGCAGCTGCTAACTTTCACAGATGCTGGATGACTCAGCAGCTCTGGGAACTATGGCTCTTAAACTTTCTTAACAGGAAGGACTCCCCTCTTGCCCCCAATACTCACACCAGCAAAAAGATGAAAAATCAGGAAGAAAAAACAATCCAGAATGTTCTGATATGATCCCTGTCAGAGCAATTGGTAGTGGTAGCCAGGTACCACTAGTTCTTCTGGTCTTAGAGCTGTGGAGACTGACGTTCTTGTGGCCTCCATTGAATTAATGAAGTCTTCAGGTGACTTTACAAAATTGAGACAAAACAGAAAATAGTAGGATGTGTTCAGATTCTCCTACAAACGTGTTACTTTTTATGCCAAACCTCATCCCAAAGTCAATCTCAATTGAATATGTAGTTTTTATGACTTACAGTTGTTGTTGTTATTTGGACTCACAGTGACCTGCATAGGGTTTCTGAGGCTTTAAAACTCCATGGAGACAGAAAGCCTCATCTGTCTCCCAGGAGTTGGTAGGCTTAGACCACAGACCTTGTGGTTCACAGTTTAGTATTTACTACTACAGGAGATTGAAGTTCTATGTTTTGGTTTTCCTCTTCCTGAATCATCCAGAAAAACTGAGAAAACTTTAAGTTCTCTTTTTTTTTTTAATGTTTTATTGTGAATTATGTGGTAGTTTACATGGCTGAACATTAGTTTTACATTCATCCTATCGTATATCATTTCATTGCCATGAGTTCTCTTCTTGAAAGTCTGGTATTATTTTACTTTTCCTCATGATTTCATTATATTCAAATTAAATTTATGTACTAAAGGCAGGAATACCAGTCATAGGGAAAGCACGGTATCACATGTCTCTAGCAACCTCTGGAGTTGGGATGTGACATTATTTAATCTTTACTCAGGAAACAATAGTCATAATCATTGAATATCCAGTATATGTTAATTTAGATGATGATGTAATTATTATTTTTTTTAACTTCTAATTGTTAGAAAATTATTCAGGGAAGGTATTTCTATTTCTTTTTTAGTATAACTCTGAGAACAAGGTTGCTATCTATGGAAAAGTGGTATTATAGATAACAGCCTTCTGTTCTCAGAGTTTTCCATTGTTGCAGTTAGGAGTTGTTGCTGTTGTTATGTGCCTTCGAGTCGGTTCCGACCCATAGTGACCCTGAACAGGGTTTCCGAGGCTGTAAATCTTTACGGGAGCAGAACGCCTCATCTTTCTCCCTCGGAGCAGCTGGTAGTTTGGAACTGCTGACCTTAAGGTTCGCAGCCGATTCGTAACCACTACGCTACCAGAGCTCCTTTGCAGTTACGAGAGACCTATAACAATAGTTGTTCTAACAATGATCTAGTGTTTACTCTGTCAGCTACAGACTTTTAATTCAGTACAACTCTGGTCCCCCAAGTCTCAAGGGATTGAGTTTCTTCAGTCTCTGAATATCCTTTTCCATTATTATTGCAAATATCAGTACAAATCTTCATGATTGATAGAGGGTAATAATGATAAAATCTTTATTTTATCTTGTGACTTTACACAGGAACTTGTGACCTTCTTGTCACTTCTAGTATCTTCCAAAAATGCTCATTTTTTCTGATCGTAGAGACCCGAATTAGAGGATGGGTAGATAAGAAAGGGATCCTTTCCCTTACCTCGTTTTAGGAAAAAGAGGCAACTGTATAAAGACTCAGGTAAAGAATGTATGTGAGATATTGTGGCAGTGTAGAAACATGTACAATCTGTAAAATTACATGTTGTGCTCAAAATGTGAGAGCCTACAGGAAAAGGTAGTGTTGATCACAGAGAACTTCATTAGAGAGAAGTCTATATACAAAAAGGGTGGAGATAAATTGGAGGGCTGTTGTGTTTGACTATGATTATCAGCTACAGGCAGATCTGAGCTTCACCTAACAGTTTAATCAACACTGTCCAGCTTGTCTTAGCCTCTGCTCAGGCAACAGAATGAAGCAATATGCTTCTACTTCTCTGGACTCCAGGGTACGCTTTATTTTAAATATTCTAGTTTGCTCAACCTAGATCACTAAAAGTTTATGCCTGTTTATTGTGAATTAATTTTGAAATTCAACTTTCTTCAGCTGATTTATCAACAAAGACACATATTTTACTCGTAATGATAAATTGAAATTTCATTCATGAAAGGGGGTAACATTTTAATATTTATTATTTTGAAATTTGTTTGTTTCCTCAGAATTATTTCTCATCTAATTTTTATAATGTGCCAGGCAGCAAAGTCATTTGAATTGCAAGGTTGGTGGTTCAAGCTTACCAGCTGCTCCTTGGAAACCCTATACAGGGTCACTATGGGTCAGAATCGACTTGATAGCACTTCACAACAACAACAACCAGATCCAAAC